CACGCACACACACACACACACACACACACACACACACACACACACACACACACACACACAAAGAAAGGCAAATTCAAATCCTCTGCACTCTGAAGAATGCATATAAAAACAAATGTCCATTTATAGCCACAAAAGAGTGAAAGAGGAGGATACAACTTTGTTCAGCAAACTGAACAAAGATTACATTTCAATGCAAAAAAAAGTCACATAGGGGTCACAAGATGTTTGATGTATGATACCTGGGATACTGCTTCTTATTTTGTCTTCCTGAGAGATAAAAAGTAGTAAAAGTAAAATAGTTGTGTCAACAGTGCTGCAACTATCCTGTGTGATTATCTCATTATGTGGTGCCTTCATACACAGATGCTCCATTAGCTCCATTTAATAAGAGATAACATCTACCCATCCCTCAATCTATCCTTTCTTCTTTCAGAGTGGGAACATACAGAGGGAGAGACAGAGAGGCAGGTGGGCTAGACGGGCGAGACAGTCTGTTTCTTTAAATAGCTGATCACTCAGTTGTTTGCATCGTAAACAACAGAGTATTTTAAAGCCTTCACCCTGTCCTCACTCTTAAAATAAGGCCAAAAAAAAAAAATGAAATTATGCAATGCACACAAGGATAATGATTTTGAACCCACTGCAAGCGCAGAGTCCTGTTGCACATAACATGGGTTGTTAAAATTATGTGCTTGTAAGAAACCCTAGTTCACTAAAATTGGTAACCTAAAAATTGTAGATCTCAATTAAATGGTTTTGTTTGTCAAAAATATGATTTCATATCACTGAATCAATCTAAATATATAAATCTATACCATCAAGACTCATGTTATGGGTTAAATCAGATAGAAATAGGGCATTATGTGACATATAATGCATGTGACACATAATGCAACATTGCACAAAATCCAGGTTGCGTAGCTAAAAGCATTTTGGGCTAAAGGTTGTCCAGTGGGTCTTTGCAGCATCTTAGCTTCAGCAAAGAACTGTATAATATATTACATCCATAATATAACCATATTATACAATGGGTTCTGGAGTTGAGCTATGTTTTTTTTTTTGGAGATTCAAAAAGTTCTTGATGTTTCATTATGGGATCTTTAGATCAGTGTATTTGTTTCTATGATCTTTAAAGCACAAAATAAATGGTTTATAAGAACTAAGCCAGAGTAGAATAGTACCTTACTTTATACTGTCTACTACTTTCTTTAAAATAGTATGTGAAACAGTATGTAGTATGTAATAATATAAATGTTTCAAAGAGTGGTATGCTGCAATATCAGAGCGACGTCACAGTAGAAACCAATTACAGGCAGCGACGAGACAACGGTTTACGTAAGAAATTTATAAAAAAATGTACATGTGATAAGTACGTCTGAACTAGTTACGTTGCCTTACAATACGCCTGATAGATACGTCGTCTCCATGTACGTCGCCTTAAATGAAATTTAAAGTTTTCATTACAGTAGATGTATGTTATAGGCTATTACTTTTATTTAGTTTTTCCCCATAAAGTGGCAATAGTGCATAATAATTGCTGCATAATAAAGTCGATTTCATGTTTGATAACTTATGTTTAGCTGTTACGATGGTGTTGAAGTGAAGTACAGCACATTAATGTTCAGTTTATTAGTCAAGGCCCTTCTTTTTGCTTGGATGCTACAAAAAGTACGGAAGCCCTAAGAGGCAATGCCTGATTTCTGCATGAATATTTCATTCTTGTTTCCTTGTGATCTCGACACAAAAGAGTGTAATTTTATCAGAAATAAAGTTGTATTTATATTAGATATTCATTAGACATTCGATCTTCAGCATTAAATGAGGTGGAGAACAAAGTCGTTCCGAGCAAACATGTCATGAATTTATAATGTTTGGGACGCTAATTAGCCATTTTAACTGAAAGATGAAGGCTGTGATAATACTGTTGTCCAGTAGATGGAGCAACAGGATAAGGAATCTCTTAAAGGGATACTCCACCCCAAAATGAAAATTTTGTCATTAATCACTTACCCCCATGTCGTTCCAAACCCGTAAAAGCTTTGTTTGTCTTCAGAACACAATTTAAGATATTTTGGATGAAAACCGGGAGGCTTGTGACTGTCCCATTGACTGCCAAGTAAAATACACTGTCAAGGTCCAGAAAAGTATGAAAGACATCATCAGAATAGTCCATCTGCCATCAGTGGTTCAACCGTAACGTTATGAAGCGACGAGAATACTTTTTGTACGCGAAGAAAACAAAAATAACGACTTTATTCAACAATTTGTCTCCTCTGTGTCTCTCCACATCACCGTAGCGCCATTTTGGAGAATATCCGCTGAATGCAAGCAGCATACGCTCTTCTGTGTCAGCCGTGACACAAGGATACGTTTTCTATGTGTATTTACGCTTTGATTTGAACGAAAACAGCTCATCCGTGCAGCACGAATGACACAGAAGAGCGTATGCTGCTTGCGTTCAGCGGATATTCTCCAAAATGGTGCTACGGTGATGCGGAGAGACACAGCGGAGAGGAATTGTTGAATAAAGTCGTTATTTTTGTTTTCTTCGCGTACAAAAAGTATTCTCGTCGCTTCATAACGTTACGGTTGAACCACTGATTGCATATGGACTATTCTGACGATGTCTTTCATACTTTTCTGGACCTTGACAGTGTATTTTACTTGGCAGTCAATGGGACAGTCACAAGCCTCCCGGTTTTCATCCAAAATATCTTGAATTGTGTTCCGAAGACGAACAAATCTTTTAGGGGTTTGGAACGACATGGGGGTAAGTGATTAATGACAACATTTTCATTTTGGGGTGGAGTATCCCTTTAAGCCTAATATTTTTCGATAGGATTCCATCCCTATGAATTGAAACAAGCATTGATCTACTTCATTTGCATAACTATGGTGCGCTGACAGTATAGTTTTATATAATTAGTGTACATAGAAATCTTTGAAATGTGTATTTATCATTACATTTTTTTCTTTTATAGACCTCAGTAAGACATAAAACATCTAGACAGGATTAAATACAATCCCAAATCAGGAAAAGTTTTTTTAAAATGCAATAACATTTTGTAAAATGCAATCAAATCAAGATCTTATAATACAATCATAATTCTGTTTAATCTTTATTTGATTGACAAAAGTGCAAAGAAAAGATTTTCAATGTTTTTACTGACCAAATAAACTGCAATCTGTAAATATAAGCAAATTGGGACAGAGGCACATTTAACACTGTGTCACATCAACTTTCCTTTTAATTACAATGTTTAATTGTTTGTGAATTGAGGATACTAATTGTTAAAGTTTTTCAAGTCAAATTTTTGCCCAATACAAGACTTCAGCTGCTCGTCAGTCTGTGGTCATCACTGCCTGATTGTCCTTTTCACGATGAGCCATACATGTTCAATAGGAAACAGATCTGGACTGATCTAGCACATTCACCCTGTGTCTACGAAACCAGGCTGTTGTAGCACATGCAGATTGAGACCAGGCGTTGTCTTGTTCTAATAACCATGGACTTCCCATGAAAGATGTCATCTTGATGGCAGTATGTACAATGCCAATATAATGCCTCCATGTCAATGGTACCCTCACACATGCCAGACACCCATGCCGTTTTTTCTGATAAACCCCCATACAATGACAGATATTTGCTTGTGCAATCTGTCGCTGGTGAAAGTCTGGATGGTCCCTTTGGTCTTTGGGACTGAGAACTCGACATCCATTTTTCCCAGTGGACTCATGTGACCACAGCACACATTTCCACTGTCTCTTTGACTATCTGAGATGAGCTCTGGCCCAGAGAACCTGCAGCATCACTGCATAGAATTGATGTATAGCTTTCTGATGAGCCAAACCTGATACCCTCACCTATTACCAATTTACCCTGCTTATAGACGGTTTCAAAACAGTTTAATTTGGATATTCTATAACCCTTTCACTTTTATTTGGCCTCTGTCCCAACTTTTTTGGAGTGTGTTGCAGCCATCATAATCACAATTTGTTTATATTTACAAAATATATTTAAGTTGGTCTGTGAAAACGTTGGAAATCTTTTCTTTGTACTTTTGTCAATTAAATAATAGTTAAAGCGCATTAACAAATCACAGATTCTTGATTTCATTGCATTTTACAAAACATCCATACTTTTTTTTTTTCCTGATTTGGGGTTAGTATATTGCTGTCCATTTAAAATGAAAACACAATTATATTTGCTTTTTGTAGATAGTATACAGGTATTATAATATTTCTATAAAGACACATTTACTGCTTAATCCCTTTAAAGAAAAAGACCAATTACCAATTAGAAATATAGGGAGGTAAACTTAAGGAAGAACCCACAAATATGGGGAAACAAAGAGGACCATCACATCAAGATGTACTTTTGATTCAGTTACTTTGTATG